CCTCGCTCTCTCGGTCTCTCTCTGGGAGGCTCTATTTGATGTAATGCGCATCTCTCTCTCGGTCTGTCTCTTCTCGCTCTCTCATCGTCTCTCTCCCTCCTCTCTCTCTATCTCTATCCATTTCTCTCTTTTCTCTCTCTATCTTTCTCTCTCTATCGCCTCCTCGTCTCTCTCTCTCTCTCTCTCTCTCTCATCTCTCTGCTCTCTTCTCATATCCATTTCTTCTCTCTCTCTCTCTCGCCATTTCTCCGCTTTCTCTTCTCCTCTGTCTCCTTCTCTATCTCTTCTCTCTCTCTCTCTCTCTCCCATCTCTCTCGTCTCTCTCCTCTTCTCTTCTACTCTATCTCTAATCTCTATCTCCCCCCCTCTCCTCTCTCTCTCTCTCTCTCTCCTTCTTCTCTTTTTCTCTCCTCTCGCTTCTCTCCCCTCTCTCTCTCCTCTCGGTTTCTCTTCGCCTGTTCTCTCTCTTCTTTCACCTCTCTGCTCTCCACTTCTTCTCTTCTCTCTCTCTCTCTCTCTCTCTGCTCTTCTCTCTCTCTTCTCCGCTCTCTCTCTCTCTCTCCCGCTCTCCTCTTTCTTCTTTTCTCTCTCTTTTCTCTCTCTGCTTATCTCTCTCCTCACTCTCTTCGTCTCTAAATCTCTCTCCTCCCTCTCTCTCTGCTCTCTCTCTCGTCTCTCTTCTCTCTCTCTCGCTCAAAGCACGCAGCTGATGTACACATAAAGCACGATGTGAGTACAATAAAGCACGATGATGTACAATTAAAAAGCACGACCAGTGAGAGTGATGTACAATTTCAAAGCACGAGGTGGATGTACAATAAGAAAACACGAGTGGATGTACAGTTAAAGCACGATTGATGTACAATTAAAAGCACGAAGTGATGTACAATAAAGCACGAGTGATGCTACAATAAAGCAGATCGTGATGTACAATAAAGCACGACGTCAGTGGGATGTACATAAAGACGAGTGATGCTACAATACAAGCACGGTGATGTACAATAAAGCAGTAGTGACGTACAATAAAGCACTGAGTGATGTACAATAAAGCTACAGTGAACTTGTACAATAAAGCACGAGTGATGTACAATAAAGCACCGAGTGATTGTTACTAATAAAGCACACGGTAGTGATTGTACAACAAAGCCACGAGTTGCATCTACAATTAGCACGAGTGATGTACAATAAAGCACGATGTGATGTAACGCACGTAGCACGCGGGTACACCGTGAGATACCACGCACGGTACACGCGGTACACTGCACGTACACGCATGGTACACGCACGTACCACGCAGATACAGCAGCGTACAGCGCGGGTACACGCACTACACGCGGGTACACGCATCGCCCGTGCACGCGGGTATACGCATCGTACACGCAGATACACGCAGATACACGCCCACGTACCACCGTACACGGCAGACACCACGCAGCGTTAACACGCGAGTACACGGAGATACAACGCCCGTACACGCGGGACACGCCACCGTACACGCACGTACACGCACGTACACGCTAGGTACACGCCACATGTATGCGGTTGTACGTGCGTGGACTTACCCGCGATGTACTTGTCGTTGTGTACCGCGTGTACTGCGTGTACCCACGTGCACGTGCGTGCCCGTGCGTGTACCCGCGTGGTACGTGCGTGCACACGCACGATACGACGCACGCTTACACGCACGTACCGCAGGTACACGCACATTGTAATTGTAGTGTACGTGGGTGTAACTGATACCCGGCGTGTACGTGCGTGTTTACCCACTGTGCACGTGGCGTGTCTGCCCGTGCGGGTACCCGCGTGTCACGGTGCGTGCACCCGCGTGTACGTGGCGTGTATACTGCGTGCACGTGCGTGTACCCGCGTTTTACGTTGCGGTGTAATCTGCGTGCACGTCGCGTGTATCCCGCGTGTTACGTGCGTGTGCGGCGACGTGTACGTGCGTGTATCTGGGGGTACGTGCGGTGTACGCTGTGCGTGTGCGATGCGTTGTTACCGCGGTGTACGTGCGTTGTGATCTCCGTTGTACCCGCTGTACGCTGCGTGTATCTGCGTCTACGTGTGCTCTGCGGCGCTGATCTGTCGTGGTACGTGCGGTGTATCTGGCGGCTGATACGTGGCTTGTACCTGGCGAGTTACGTGTCACCGATGTACGCGCGTACGTTGCGGTGTATCTCCGGTGTACCCGCGTTGTACGTGTAGCGTGCGTGTATCGTGATGTACGTGCGTGTGGTATCTGCGTGTACGTGCGTGTTTCCCCGTGTACTCGCGTGTACGTGGCCCGGGGTTTGTACCTGTGTGTACTCGTTTTAGTTTGAGTGACCCCAGTCTCGCGATGAATAATAATTTCTAATTGAAATAAGAATGGTCGTTATACCGGACCGTACCAGGGTACGTCTCCAGGCAGTACCCTGGGCGGACATTGACCCTCGTGAGCTATACTGTGTTATCCCTGTAATACATATACCTAGCAGGCACTTTGGAGAGTGTGAGGAGAGCCTCCCAGCAGAGCCAGCTCTAGCGTGGCTCTCGTGTAGTTCATCGACGACGAGCGATCTAGTGAACACACCGAACGTGTAACACCAGGCCAGCGAGCAGCACGTGCGCGTAGTATGACGCGAAACCAGCACCAGCCACCGCGTCCGCGGGCCCGTGTCGCCAGCCGTCGCCGCTGCACGCTGCCCGACGCAGCCCGACACGACGACGACACCGTAGATATTTAGTCGGTGAGGCGGGACGCACACTACGGTCCTAGCCGCTCCGTCGCGACAGACACACGTCGCGCCGCAATGTGTCGGGTACCGTGCAATTCGTCGGCTGCAGTACGATTGTCGGTGCCCGTCTTGCCAATCGTCTGGTGCAGTGCGATTGTCGGTCTTGCTCCGTGCAATGTCGGTGCCTCGTGCAATCACCGTGGTGCAGTTTGCAATTGTCGGTAACGTGCAATCCGTCGGCGTTGCCATGGTGCGATTGTCCGGTGCCACCGTGCCAATTTGTCGGTGGTGCCGTGCAATTGTCGACGGCGGCGGTGCCTCGGCGATTCAATTGCGTTGTTCCGGTCGTCATGCCCAATCGACGGTTGCGTGCGACCGTCGGGTGTCGCAGTGTGCCGCCGGATGTCGCGCGTCCCCTGTGCCGCCGCGTGTCGCGTGTTGTGCTCGCCGGCTGTCCGCGGTGCTGCGCCGTGTGCGCTTCATTGATTTGAGTGCCGCTTGAGCGACCGACCGTTCGCTAATATATATTACTGTGATGGGAAAGAACAAACGGCGGACCTGCGCATGCGCGGACAGGACAACGAAGTCGCTGGGATGTGTTTTGAAGGACTGCAGATAAATACATTACTCAGACACGCGAGCACAATCACTTACCGCTCTATACATCGCGATCTCTATATATATATATAGAGAGAGAGACCGAGAGAGAGAGAGAGAGAAAAGATGAGAGAGAGAGCAAAAAGAGAGAGCCTATATATTATGTGTGTGTGTGTGTGTGATGTGTGTGTGTGTGTGTGGTGGTTGTGTGTGTGTGTGCTGTATGTGCAGCGGGCCGTGTGTGTGTTGTGCGCCGCGCTGCGCCGCGTCGATGTGTGTGTGTGGTGTGCTTGTGTAGTGTGGTGTGCGTGCTAGCTTGCGTGCCATTCAAGCCGGGCGGACGCCCGTGTTGTGGAGCTGCGTCGGTGGGGTGGTGGGGGGGTTGTGTGTGTGGTGTGTGTGATGTGATGTGTGTGTGTGTGGTGTTGTGTTGTTATGTGTGTTTACAGTGTATGTATAGATAGCTCACATTCTGAGATCGCCTTTCGAATTTCTGGTTATATCAGGTTTTATCTGGTTCTCATACGACAAGAGGTCGAAGTCTGTCTATGTCCACTATGATTGCAACATGCGCATACGTATATATTATATATATATATATATATATTATATATTATATAGATCAGTGGCTGTTCCGGGGTGACACGTATGGTGTGGGGCAACTAGAAAACATGGGCCCGTTGTTAGACACAAAATTAGCCTTTTATCATAGACCGTTACATTGATCACTCATTCACCAATCAACACGTGCATCATCATCATGCATGAAAGTTGCTGTTTCCTTCCAGAATATTAAGATTTTGATTCATCTGTAGAAACTTCTTACTACACACGTGGATTTGTTTACAGGGTCTGAGCAAATTGCACTGGAGGGAGAGGCAAAACTTTCAAGAAATAATTCGTATTTAGGATAAGGTTAAGCTGAAGGAATAATTGTGTTTTTATAAGTTACAATTGTTTTTTATAAATTGTAATTTTGTTCCCCTATTTATTACATTATTAATATTCGGGTGACTTGCAATTATGACCGAAGCTTGTTTCTTAGTTCGCTCTAAAATCTAAGAGCTGCCACCCTTGCCCCCCCCCCCTCCACCCAGGGCCCTGGTTACACGCGTAGAGGTGACATATAAGAAGTCTAGGTGCCTGGTACTCGCACTCGCTCCATTATATTATTGTAAACATAAGACCTGGCAACTGCATTGAAATCAGCGGCTGCACCGCGGCACATATAACCCTAACCTGAATGACACACGGCTTACTACAGGTCATAGTTACAATATCGTACTGCGTACTGCACTGAACATAATATTTCACTGCGTAGAGCTGTCACAAATACAAACAAACAAGTCTGACAAGGTCAGAAGCGAAGATGATTGATATTCGCCCTTATTTGATCAAGAAGATAAAAGCTACTAGAAGACGTTGAGATGGGAAAGAGGTGGATGAATCAATCATCCCCCCCCCCATCCAGGTCATGGCTGTAGCTAGCGGGGGAGGGGGGCAAGGGAGGCAGTTATATTATATTATTCCCCCCTCGCCGAGAGAGAAATGTAGATATATTACGTGGTCAATGGATGTGATCTTCCCAGAGCACGCCACGCACGTGAATTCGCCTCCCCCACAATACAAAGGCAAACACACAAAGTTTCACAAGGTTTCACAGTGGCAAAACACAAAGTTTCACAAGGTTCAGAAGATTTCACAAGGTTTCACAAAGGAAAAACACAAAGTTTCACAAGGTTCACAAGGTTTCACAAGGTTTCACAAAGTTTCCCAAAGGAAAAACACAAAGTTTCACAAGTTTCACAAGGTTCACAAGGTTTCACAAGGTTTCACAAAGGCAATACACAAAGTTTCACAAGGTTCACAAGGTTTCACAAGGTTTCACAATGGCAAAACACAAAGTTTCACAAGGTTTCACAAGGTTTACAAGGTTATGGAAAATCATGCCCTTCAAAAATCATTTTCAAACATTTCAAATACACAATTTTAAATCAATTTAAAACATTTCAAATTAATTAATAAAAATACAAATTACTTTATATTGTTCGAGAAATTTAAATTCAAAATTAATTCACAGGATAACAAATCAATTTATTAACTTGCAAATTAATTCACAACTTTCCAAAATAATTGCCTGATGTACAAATTCCTTCACATCATTGTAAAAATTCATTTTCAAAACATCAACC